TGCCTCCTGGCCACCACAGCAGCCAAGCAGGGACTTTGAGGCTGGGCCTTACCTTTCCCATAATCCTCTGCACTGGCTCTCAACCTAAAGCAGCGGTTCTCAACCTGTGGGTTGCAACCCCTTTGGCGGTCCAACGACCTTTCCCAGGGGTCGCCTAAGACCATCCTGCATATCAGATATTTACATTATGATTCATAGCAGTAGAACATTACAGTTATGAAGTAGCAACGAAAATAATTTTATGGTTGGGGGTCACCACAACATGAGGAACTGTGTTTAAAGGGCCAGAAGGTTGAGAACCACTATCCTACAGGGATCTACCTGGTCTCTAGCCCCTATTATCTCCCTTCTGCATAGCTCCTGCCCACAGCTCCTGCCCACAGCTCCTGCCCACAGCTCCTGCCCACAGCTCCTGCATGAATCACTCTGCACTGAGCCCTCACTCTCCCACTCAAGGCGCCAGGGAAAGCCCTTCATGCTCCCATTGCCTACAGAACAAAGTGCACAAGGCTGCAGGCGCCCAAGGCTCTCGAAGTCTGAATCCACGACCGGTCCTGCTTTAGCCTCACCATCTCCTCTCCACTCAGCCCAACAGTCTCCATGTGTCGCTGACACTGTGAGTGCATGTCCCCACCTGCTCCTGGTGGCGGCCACCCCTCTTCTGCATGTGTTACTCCTCTGCTACCTTCACAGTTTCTCCTCCTCCAGGTAGTGCTCTCTACACCCCTCCGGGCCCCATGGCCCAGCAGCTCTGTGCAGAGGATTTCTGTCCATCCCCTTCCTTTAACTCCAAGGAAGATTGCTCAAATCCATTCGCCCCTGGGCCACGTTTTCTAGGTGATGCTCTGTCATCAGGGGTAGAAACACCTTTGTAATCATAGCTCCCCACCCCAGCTCCTTTCCTCTGTGGCTGGTTGATGGGACTTGTGCTGCTTTGAGGCAGTCACATTCAAGGCTTGTGTGAGGGCTTCAGAAGAGAAATAGACCCGAACTTCCCCCCGCAGGCCTGCTCGCCCCCCAAGTGTCACTCCCTACCGACCAGAAGAGAAATAGACCCCACCCCCACCCCAACCGCCGGGCTGTAGGGTCACCTCCTCTGGGGAGTCCTGCAGGCAAGTCCATACTCCTGGCCTCACCAGCAACCTGGCCCCCTCCCTCCTCTGGGCCTCCATCCAACATGCCTCCATTATGCCACCCACCACCCTGCATCAGAACCTTTTATTTATATGTCTCAGGGTTCCATTCCCCTTCCAGGGCCTGGCCCCGTGCCCTGCATGCAGTTGGCAATGAGCCCAGGCTTGGGCAGAGAATAATCGAGCAGCTGATGTGTGTGCACCAGGCCCCCAGCTGACCGAACAGCTGGACAGGCTCAGCAGCCGGGCGGGGGTCTTCGAAGGTACTGTTTAACCCTTGACCATCACGGGGAAATGTAGGGGGGCTGTGCACCTCTGAAGCTTTCAGGAGGCATATGGGGGAGGGGCGCAGGGTTAGGAGGAGCCTCAAGCTTCCCAAGCTGAGGCTGAAGATCACTCATGTATCAGAGGCGGGTGCAGGGTGGGACCCAGGCCCTCTGAGCCCTCGGCCCCTGCAGCTCCCAGCCTCACCCCGAATCCCACGTCTGCTCACTGTGTGTGTCCCCTGCCTGTCCCCATTCCCTGAGCCCACACAGTGACCTGTGACCCGCCTCAAGCACAGCCCTTGGAGAGAAGGTTGAGATTGGGGTCAGGGGGAGGGGTGCCCGGAATGGACCCATAAGCCTGGCTTGCTCAAGCCTGAGGCAGCTTGGTGATCGGTAGGAGTCAGCGGGGAGCCCTGTGTGCAACAACAAGTGTTCGGAGACCTGTGTGCGCTGGGGAAGGGAGAAGCCACCGGAACCAGCAGTCTGAGTTCTGGCGCTGGTGCTGCCTGTAACCAGCGGCGACCTCGGGAAGGGCCCGGGGTTCAGCCACGGGGGCTGGGGGACCTGATTAGGTCCTTTCCAGCATCAGCTTCCTGTGGTTCAGGGACCCTGAGAAGCACACACAGAGGGAAGGACTCACCCGGAGAGACCGGCAGACGGATGGCTCTGAGAATGTCAATCTGGGGATATTCATAGAGTCCACACCAATACAAGCCCGAGTCCTTCTCTGCCAGCGCAGTCATGGTGACGGTGAAGTACCCCTGTCCGGGGTCATCCCTGATGACGAATCTCGGGTCTCCAGGCTCCTGGCCAAGCCTGGGATGGGTGACTAATGGGGTACAAGTTTGTGCTGATGTTACTCTGCACCTGGTGTTCGTCCTTAAACCTCTCTGGACTCGACAATCACAACTTACAGAGACTTCCTCCCCTTCCAGTTTCCGCAGCACCTCTGGCTGCTGTTCCCAGGAGCCTGAGAATAAACCCCCAGGTCAGGGAGCCCCCTTCCTTCCTGCCTCAGAGCTGAGAGGGGCCCCCTCCTCAGGAAGTCCTCTCTGGTACACTCAGTGCCCCTCCCCCGCACCTGCCCCCCTCCTCCCTCTACCCTCCCCCTCAGGCCACCTCACTAGCATCGCTCCTTCTCTCCCCC